CACACCGTTTCTGGAGTATGTAGAAAAAGCGAAAACAGAGAAATACGTTTGGTTATTCTTTTTTTTAACTTTCAGTTGTTTTTATTTTGTTTTTATTCTACTTCGGCGTGTGTGTGTGTGTGTTTTTCACGTCTCAAACGGCGTGCGGTGGAAGGAGCAAGAAGGACCGCCCGATGGCCCGCACGCCTTTGGCGGTGCACTGGGCCCCGCCCGCCCCCTTGTCCTTTGCACTGGCTGTGCGCAGCGGGTCTGCATGTACGTTAACTTTGTGCGGCGCAAGCGTCTCGGCGGTGGATGAATTTATTTTTGTAGGAACTTGTAGAAATAACCGTCGCGCGATGGGGGTGGATAAAAGTAAACGATGATTTTTTTTGTAGGGATGCCCCGCTTTTTTTTTTTGTTTGACGAGGCCTTGTTTCCAGAGATCCCGCGTTGGGCGGCAGCGGGCGCAATTCTTTGTGTGTGTGCTTGCGTGTGCGTGTTTGCTGCGGTATTTTGGTGGTTCCGCCGCCTCGTGGACTTGTATCTTTCTCCTCTTCTTTTTGTTTTGTGATTTTTTCTGGTTTTCTGGCACTTGCCCTGCGTGCGTGTTTCTGTGGTCGCGCGGGTTTGTGTGCCTTTGACGTGGGGACTCGTGTGTAGGACTGGTGCACGCTATCGGGAGGAAGGGAGTGAGGGGCGGCGCTGGCGACCCTGAAGGCGGCTACAGGCAGCATAGGCTGGGGAGTGAAGAATGGCGGTCCTCCCTCAGGCCCGCGCGACCGTCACGCGTCGGAGTTTCTGGCAGCTGCTGGGCGCTGGGGCTTTTGTGGCGGGGTCCGCGGGCGGTGGCCTGCTGCTGTACTACCGCTACGCCTGGCTGCCGGACCGGCGGCGGGCGGCGCAGCTTTCGCGGATGCAGGCGCCGGTTCGCCGCACACTGCCGTACGTCGCCGGCGCTGGCTGTCGCGGCCACGAGGGCGCCGCGCAGGAGGCGGCAGTGGTGGCGGTCGGGGGGCCGTTGCGTGCGTTCGCCGTCGTTGCCTTCTACGGCTTTGTTGTGCTGCGCACGCTGCTGCTGCTGACGCGCATGCTGCCGGTGGTGTGGTACGCGTTTCTCACCTACGGCCTGCACCTCTGCGGGGAGCAGGTCCTCTTTGAGCGGCTGCGGGAGGCGTTGACGGCGATGGGGCCGAGCTACATTAAGCTCGGGCAGTGGATGGCGACGCGGCCGGACTTCTTCCCGCCGTCGCTCTGCGCCGCGCTGGAGAAGCTGTACGACCATACCGTCCCCCACAGCTGGTCCCACACGGAGAAGACTTTGCGTCGCACCTTCCGCGAGGCCGCAGCCGAGGCGGGCGGGGACGCGGCGCCGGCGGGTTTGCCGCCGCGGAACGCGCTCTACTACCTCAGCGAGATCGAGACGGTGCCCGTCAACAGCGGGAGCATCGCCCAGGTGCACCGTGGGGTGCTGCGCGAGGCGGTGGACGGCATCCCCGCCGGGACGGAGGTGGCGATCAAAGTCGCGCACCCCCGCATTTGCCAGTCGGTGGCGGCGGACGTGGTCGGGATGCGTTGGTGCGTGCGCGCCCTCACGTTTCTGCTGCCCAGCACCGTCTACTTTGATCTGGAGCGGAGTGTGCAGGAGTTCGCGGCGTTCATCCAGTCCCAGCTGGACCTGCGGCAGGAGTGTGACAATCTGCAGCAGTTTATCTTCAACTTCCGCGACTTCCCCGGGGTCATTTTCCCCCGGCCGCTGCCCTCGCTCTGCTCGCAGGAGGTGCTGATTGAGACCTTTGAGGAGGGCCAGCCGCTGCAGGAGATTCAGGGCGGAGAGAACTACGCGGACCTCGCGGAGCGGGGGTGCCACATGTTCCTCAAGATGCTCTTCGAGGACAACTTTGTGCACTCCGACCTGCACCCCGGCAATCTGCTGCTGCGCACAAACGCCGGGGCCCCAGTCAGCGGCGCCGCCGCCGCCCTTCGCCCGCTTTCCGCCGACGCTCGCTACCCCGACGGGAAGCCGAAGCTCCGCCACGAGCTGATTGTGCTGGACGCGGGCCTCGTCTCGACGCTCTCGAGGGAGGAGCGCAACAACTTCATCGCCCTCTTCGCGGCGGTGGCGTGCGGCGACGGCAAACTCGGCGCGGACCTCATGCTCGACCGCATGCCAGAGACCCGCGGCCCTGCCCGCGCTGTGAACCGTGAGAAGTTTCGCGAGGACATGCAGGCGATCTTTAGCATCGTTGCCCCAGGGAACTCGGAGGGCTTCAAGCTTAGCAAGGTCCGCATAGGCCCTGTGCTGGCCATGATCATGAACACGCTGCGCGAGAACCAGACGCCCATCGACGGCAACTTCGCCTCGCTTGTCATCACTGTGATGGTGGGGGAGGGGCTCGGACGCAGGCTGACGCCCGACTTCAACCTCTTTGGCGAGGCCGCGCCGTACCTGGTGGCGCTGCTCGAGGACGGTGAGCTCTACTTCCTGGCCTCAAAGCTGCGGGAGACCTACGGCACCCCCGCGCTGCTGCGTGACTCGGTACACTTTGTGCGCCCCGAGCGCACCGCGACCTACGCCGAGGTGTTCGTCAAGAAGGTCGTGAAGGACACGGGGCGGCTGTGGCGATGGCTGACGGCCGCCCCCACCACCGCGACGGAAACCGACGCGGGCTCGGTGGAACATTGACAACGGCGGCGAGTCCCACACGCGCGCCGGGGACGTGTCCCCGTGCGTTGTTGTTGTTCCCCGCAACAAAAAAAATGCAGGCGCAAGTGAGTGAGGAGTTAAAGGAGGGGGATAAGAGAGTGAGAGCGGCCTGCGTGGGCATGAGCGTGTGCCTCTGTGTGTGTTTAGATGTATGAGCCTGCCTTTCTGCCGTCGTCATTGCCAGTTTTTTTTTTTGGCTTCCCCCCACCCCGACCTGCCTGCTCTCTCTCCCTCTCTCTTTCGCGGAAGAGGGAACCTACTATTGCAGGTGCCTCTCTTTCTCTGCGGCCCGCCCCACGCGTCTTTTGTCTGTCTGTTGTGCTGCCTTTCTCATTCTTCTTCGTGTGGTTTTTTTGGGCGCCTCACGCAGTCGCCCTCGAAGCGGTACCGCCGCCGCCGCCTGTCATTTTGCGCCGCTCGCCCGTACGCAGAGGTGGGGAGGGGAGGTTGGGTAGGGTCCGCCCCCTGAAGGAGACAAACAGCACGAGACAAAAAGCAAAAGGAAAAGAAAAAAGCAGAGCAGAGGCGTGGGGCGTAGGGCCGGGGAGTTGTCCGCGCCGTATCGCGTTTCAGTACCTCCCGCACGCTCGCACGGCCACCGGCACACGCGCAGGGCTCGTGCGGCTGGGCTGCTGGGAGGGTGGCGGCTGCGGACACACACACACCCGTCCCACACGCGGAGGCAGCGCGGATGCCGCCGAAGCGTAAGAAGAGCGCCTCACGGGGCAAAAAGAAGAGGCCGAAGGTGTTTGTAGACCCGGACGAGGAGTATCGCCGCGCCCTGGACGAAAGATACTACCTCCCCAAGCTCACCCGCGCCGCCATCAACCAGGGCTACCTGCAGCGGATTCTGCTCGCGATCAAGTCCTTTACGTTGGCGCAGCCGCCGCTGGAGCTGGAGACGCTGGACTCCCGCGAGGAGGAGGTGAACAGGGAGATCGCGACGCGCGTGCCCCTGCAGGTGCTGCCGGACATTGTGCGCTCGCTGGGGCTCAATCCCGGCGAGGAACAGATGCGTCAGATTGGGTGGCTCGTCCTGTACCACGGCGAGTCTCCGCGGCGGCCGCCGTCAGAGGCGGGGGACGCAGGCACCGCGGTGCCCCCGCCAGAAGCCGCGCCGCAGGAGCCGCACGCGGAGGCGAAGGAGCAGGTCGAAGTGACGCTAGAAGAGATGCTGGACCACCCTCTCGAGGAAACGGTGGCGTCGGCCGCCGGGCGAGGCAAGAAGCTGATGGCGGATCGTGGCAAGCTTGAGGCGGTGCTGCTGGATATCATGTGCACGGGGCTGCTTGTTTTTGACCCGGCGGGCATGCAGGGCGAGGCGGCTGCGCCCGCACATGAGCGCGTCGTCTCCGTCGTGGACCGTAGCGACCCGGAGGTGGTGGACAACGTGTTTGACGTGCTTTGGGCTGCCTCGCTTCGCCACAGGTGTGAAGACGGGGCGCGCTGCATCTACGTCAGCGACCTGGAGCATCTGCTAACTGCCGTCCAAGAGGCCGCGGCAATCGGCGAGTTGCCCCTGACGCCGGAGGAGCTGGAGGCGTTTTTCTTCTTCGTTAGTGAGACCGGGTGTGACACGGTGCGCGAGGACACCTTTGCGTTGATGGCGCTGTGAAGCCGCCGTGGGGTTGGCGGATGCGCGTCACCCGGCCCCACCGATGCGTGGGCCGCGGAGAGTCTTCCTCGCGTCAACGAGGCTTCTGTGTGTGTATTGTGACCCGCCACTTGTCCGCCTCCGCCTTTGCGCGCTCGCCCTCACGCCGTATGTACCTTCTCATGTATAGTTGCCCCGATGTAAGCTTCGCTCGTTCTTTCGTGTGTGTGTGTGCGTTTGTGTGTGTTGGAGGGAGGGGGCGAGGCGAGGGGACGGTCTCTTGACATTATGACGATTCAATTTTACTGTTGCTGCTTTTTGCTTTTTTTTTGGTCGGGCGATTTGCCGCATGGTTTTATTGCGTCTAATGTTTTTGTTTTTCTTTCCTTTCTTTCCCTTCGGCGGCGGCGGCGGCGGCGGCGGCGGAGTTTGTGTCTGCTGCGCCTCCCCCTGCGCTCGCGCCTGCCTCCACTTTGCCGTGCCCCCTCCCGCAGCACACGCGAAGAGGGCGGAAACGGGACGAAAGCAAAAAAGAAGCGGGACGGGCGGAGGCAGCAGTAGCCGCATCTGCGCGAGTATAATATAAAATATTTTATATTATATTATATATATATATATAGCGAGAGAGAGAGGGAGAGGAGAGGAGAGGGAGAGGAGTAGGGGAGTGTGCTGGCGTTGCGTGCCGCGGCGGCGGGGCGGCGATGGACCAGCTAGAGAGCATCCTGAGCGGGCTGGCGCCGGGGCACATAGAGCAGGCGGTGCGGCTGCTGCAGCGGTACACGGCGGCGGCGGGCGCGAAGGGAGAGGCGGAGCCGCCGTCGGCAGACCAGCGCGGCGGCGATGACGCCCCCGCCGAGGCGGTGAGCTCCGTCGTTGCCCTCGCGCTGCAGCAGGCGATCCGCGGCGCCCCCGCAGCCACTGCGGCCAACGCCGTGGGCACCGACGCCGACGCCGACGACGAAGACATTCCCCTCGCCGCGCTGGCGGCGAAGCGGCGGCGGCAGCAGGGGGCGGAGAGCCCGGCGGCGGCGGGGGAGCTCGAGGGCCAACATCCCACAAACGGCGGCGGCCGCACCCCCGCGCGGAGGGCCCAACCGTCGGCGAAGGCGGCGGGCTCGCCGGCGTCGCAGCAGAAGCAGCACCAGCCTGTGCCCGTCGTCGCCGCGCGCGGCCTCGCCAGCTTTGGCTTTGTCACCGCCGCCAAGAAACCGGCGCCGGCGGCCGACGGCACGAGGAAGCTGTTTACGCCCTTTTTGCAGGACAGACGCATAGTGCCCGCGGCGTTGCGGTTCTGGTGCCGCGACAAGGCCGCCCCCGCCCCGCGGGAGGCGACAGTGGCGCCCCCGCTTCAGCCGCACGCGGCGGCTGTGGCGGAGGAGCCGCGGAGCATCGCCGTGGACGAAAACTCCTCATCGCTGCTCCACTCGCCCGTGATGTTCTGTGGCGAAAAGGAGGAGTCACGGAGTGCTGGGCAGCAAGAGCAACAAAAAAACCGCGATGGATCGGCACGGCGCTATGCCTCCTTCACGGCAATGATAGATGCCGCCACCACGGCTGCCAGCAAAGGAGGCGACCAAGGGCACCGCCTGCAGTGTCCTTGTGCGTTCCACGTGAGGCTCGCCGCCCCCCGCGTCGGCTTCAGGAATGAGGTGGTCTTCTGTGGTTTTTATGCGATTGGCTACGACCCGTGCCAGTCCCGTCCCCCGTACTTTGGGACGTACAACAGCCAGGATGCGCTGAACGCGGAGGAGCTGCTGCAGCTGGCCCGCTTTGACACCGGGCGGGATATGCCGCAGATGTCAAATCTCGACTACGAGTACGACTCCGGCGACGACTGGGACGTGGTGGAGGGCGACGAGGACCTCGGGGCCTCCAGCGAGGACAGCGACGATGAGGAGGACGACGAGGAGACGTCCGACAACGACAGCGGGGGAGACTTCATCAACGACAACAACGACGAGGACGACGACTCGGACGCGGAGCTGCAGCGGAAGATGGTGGAGGAGCGTCAGCGGCGGCTCAATCGGCTGCGGCACAAGGACAAGCTGGTCCCGGCCTTCAGCGGCCCCTTCGCCGGCGTCCCCTGGCTCGAGCACCCGCTCCGTGAGTACGACAGGCTGGAGCGGCTGGGCTCCGCGCTCGACGGCGCCGCCTTCACGGCGCTGATGGAGCGGGAGATGCGCGGGTTGGGCTCCGCCGCAGCGCCGAGCCCCGCATACGCCGCCGAAGGGGGAGGGAGCGGCGCCGAGGCGGCGGAGGCGGGGGCGGGTCGCCCGGTGGAGGAGCTGGATGAGAGGATGCTGCAGCAGCGGCTGGTCGCGGCGGCGCTGCGCAACCGGCGGGAGATGCTGCCGGAGGAGCTGGACGCCGTGCACGCCATCGTGGCGGTGAACGGGAAGGTGTCGCCCAAGGCAATCGTGGAGGCGCTGCAAGGGCAGCAGCTGTGCGTGGGCGTCGCGCGGGCGGAGATTATTCGCACCATTCGACGCTACTACGAACGCAAGCACAACACGATGGTTCGCCGTGCCGAGCCGTGGTCGCCAACGGACGAGCGGCTCTTTGCGACGCAGCGAGGCGGCGGCGGCAAGGTGGGAGGCAACGGCAGTAATATCCCCGCCAACAACGAGAGTAACAGCAATAATAATAACGGCGAGCCGCAAGGCGGCTGCGAGGAGGAGGAGGACTACGAGGGCGATGAGGACGTGCCGCTGGTGGAACTCGCACGCAAGCGGCCACGTGCGGAGGAGGAGACGATTGAGGCGGAAGCTGAATGACCCGCCGCACCTCTTTTTCTCCCGGCTTGCCGCCCAGTCCGCCTCTCTACGGAGGTACGATGGCCCTGCTCGTTCCTCTCCTGCACGCCTGCACGCACGCAGTCCCGGTTCAAGCGTGAAGCCGGAAAGAAGGTGGGAAAGGCCAAGGAAGATAGGAGTCCGTTTCTTTGCTTTTTGTTTCGGTTTCGTCTTTGCGTACTTCCATCGCCGCCCCACCGCACCCCACACACGGAAGGTAACACGGCCCGAGGCACGGAAAACGCGTTTCGCCTTTCCACGCCTCCGGCGCCGCTGCATCGCTCAAAAAACAAACAAAAAGAGGCGGGGGGAAAGAGGTATGCATGGCTCCTCCGTCCCACGTGTGACTTCTTTTTTTTTTGCGCCGCGGTGCGGCGAAGTGTGGCCCTGTGCTCTTCTCCCTCCTTTGCGTGCTCTCTCTCTCTCTCTCTCTCTCTCTCTCTCTCTCTCTCTCTCTCTCTGTGCTTGTGCGTGCGTGTGTAGGCGGGCTCTGCCCCCGTGCACGGGGCCTCGCACCGCTACGCCAAGAGGGGCTGGTGAGGTGCATTTCGCGTGACCCCCAAGCTTTTCCTTTTTTTTCCCCCATTTTTTCTTTGTAGGTCTGGTGCGGGGGAGGAGATGGGTGCGGGGAATTCACAGGGGCAGGCGAAGCGGGAGATGGCGGTGACGCTGAGCGGCGGCGCCGCCGCACCCGACGAGCGCACGCTGCAGTGCGAGGGGTGGACGATGGAGCGGCCCATCCGGTCGTGGTCGGCGGCGGCGATGACGTACGCGGGGGACGTTGTGGTGGCGCCGCCGGGGCCGGGGCAGGTGCGGGTGAAGATGTACGCCGCGGGGGTAAACCCCATCGACGTGAAGCGGCCCACCTTCGGCCGCAGCGGCAGCCTCTTCGGCCGGCACGGCGGCACCAACGGTGATGAGAGTGTTGCGACGTCCACGCGACACGCGCCCCTCGCGTTCCCTTTCCCCTACGTGATGGGCACAGAGGGGGCTGGCGTGGTAGAGAGCGTTGGGTGGGACGACGACGACCCGCGGCAGCGCGAGCGGTACGGGCTGCGGGTGGGCGACCGCGTCGCCTTTCTCGCGGACCTCGCAATGGCACGTGGCGGGACATTCTGCCAGTACGCCGTGGTGGAGGCCGACGCCGTTGGAAGGATCCCGGCCCCCGCCGGCGAGGATGCGATTGGCTTTGTGGAGGCCGCCGCGATTCCCTGTGCCGTGGGGACGGCGTACGTCGCGCTGTTTGACAAGCTGTGCGTCACGCCTGGGCGCAGCATATTTATTAGCGGTGCCTCGGGCGGCGTCGGCACCGCGGCGGTGCAGCTCGCCAAGTACGCCGGGCTCTGCGTGCTGGCCTCCTGCTCCACCGTCAACGTCGCCTACGTGAGGTCGCTGGGCGCCGACCACGTCTTTGACTACACCGTGCAAGACGTCGTCGGCGAGTGCCTCGCCCGCACGCAGGGTTTCGGCGTCGATTACGTGCTGGAGGCCGGCGATGCGGCGCTCGCCGCGCGGCACGCGGAGGCGCTGCGGTTTGGCGGTTCCCTCTGCGTCCTGCCCGGGCCGATGCCGGGCGCCGACGCGGCGCTCTTCCAGCGGCAGTTGTCGGTGAGTTACGTCTGCCTCGCCGGGCTGCACGCCCACCCGCTCACGCGCGGCGCCCTGCGGGAGGTGGTGGAGATGTGCCTCGAGCTCCACCGCCGCGGCGCCTTCCGGCTGCGGCTGGAGACGGTGCCGGTGGGGCGCGCCGACACCGCGCTCGACGTCGTGGCGGAGGGGCACACGCGGGGAAAAATTGTGCTGACGGACTTCCACCCCGGCGAGGCGGCGCCCGGCGAGAACTCGCAGCCGGCACCGCAGTGAAGTGGGCGCCCACGCATTGCCGCCGCTGGCAGGAAAACACACGCGCGCGCGGGTAAAAGTTGTTGCGGCGCGAGAAGTGGAGAAATGAGGCGGCGGTGGCTGTGGGGGATGAGGCGCAAACAAGGGAGAACGCAAGAAAAAAGGAAAAAAGGACGAGAGGGTGTTTTTTTTCTTTCTTCCTCTT